GGGCACCATCTAGTTGTGCTGGACTCAGTCTGGTGGAGGCCTTGGTAGCTGTGGTCCATTAGCCCTTTGGACTAATCTTTCTCTTGTGTCTTTGGTTTTCTTCATTCTCCCTTGCTCCAGACAGGGTGGGACCAGTGGAGTGTCTTAGATGGCCGCTCACAAGCTTTTAAGACCCCAGACGCTACTCACCAAAGTAGAATGTGGAAGCTTTTCTTTATAAACGATGTTATGCCAATTGAGCTAGATGTTCCCCAAGGAATAATAATTTTTTAGCGATAATTATTGTTGCCAAATGTCACAATTTTTATGATGAATGGAGGCTCACTTTCAACAGAGGAAGATGGAGAACAAGAAGCTTATTAGTAGCCTTCTGCTGGTGCTGTATCACCAGTGCCCAGCGCACAGTAGGTGCTCAACAAATATTTGAGTAAATAAAGGGACGCAGATGGGACTACATGCCCTTACTGGGTACACACCTGTCTGCATACCTGCACATTCAGTCAGACCCTCATTTACATATCCAGACACCTACGCTGTTTACTCAGCATGCAGTCAGCCCCTGCCCTCATGGAATTCCCAGGCAAGATGGGAAGAGAGACATTAAACAAATAGTCGGTTGGTTACGATTGGCCTGGATGTGGCATCAGGGGTATCAGTGGAGCCTGGAGTTTGGAGAAGGCTTGCTGGAGGAGGAGACACTGCAGCTCACGTCTTGAAGGAGAAGCAGGAGATTTTCAGCTAGAAAAAAAAAAAAAAACAATAATAAACAACAGCCACGAACATTTGCTGTGTGCCAGGCACCGTTTGATGTACGCACACGAGCTCATTGAACTCTCATAAAGGCTCTGTGAGGCGGGGATCACCGTTATAACCATTTTACAGATGAGAAAACTAAGGTGCTGAGCACTTCAGGTCATTGCTGAAGGTCACAGAGGTGGAAAGTGGCAGGGCCAGGAACAGCCAGAGAGTCCATTCCCAGAGTCTGTAGAGTCCGTTCCCAGAGTCTGTAGAGTCCATTCCCAGAGATTCTAAAATAGTCTGCAAAGGAGCAGTCAGTGGCAGGAGAAAAACAGGGAGAGCGGCATCCTGGCAGCCAAAGGGAATAGTATTTGCAGAAGGAAGTGATCAAGGGGTGTTGAAGGTTCCTCAGGGACCAGGATTTGGAGACCCATTGCCGTCCAGTCGATTCCACCTCATAGCGACCCTATAGGATAGAGTAGAACTGCCCTCATAGAGTTTCCAAGGAGCAGCTGGTGGATTCGAACTGCCAACCTTTTGGTTGGCAGCCGAGCTCTTAACCACTGCACGCCCAGGGCTGCGGATACGGAGAAGGACTGAGAAAAGTCTGCTGGAGGGCCCGCAGCAACAGGACGTAGAGAGTTTTTGGTGAAATGGCAGTGCAGGAAGTGAGGGAGGAGGTGAGGACGTGGAGGCTGGACAGGCGGACGACTCTGAGGACGAGGTTGAGGGGAAGGGGCATCTCAGATGGGAGAGATGGCACAAGTTTCTGAGCTGACAGCACCACAGACTGCTTCCAGGGGCTGCCCCAACACCTCCTGGTAGGTAAGATAATGGCAGCCCCCCATAAATGTCTTCATTCCCAGAACCTGTGAATACGCCAGGTTACATGGCAAAACGGAAGTAAAGTTGCAGATGGAATTAAGGTTGCTAATCAGCTGACTTTCAAATAGGGACGTTATCCTGGATTATCCTTGTGGGGCCAATGTCATCACCAAAAACCAAAACCCACTGCCGTTGAGTTGCTTCCGACTCACAGCGACACTATAGGACAGAGTAGAGTTGCCCCATAGGGTTTCCACAGAGTGGCTGGTGGCTTCCAACTGCCGACCTTTTGATTAACAGCTGAGCTCTTAACCACCGCGCCACCAGGGCTCCAAGATGCCATCACAGGGATGGTTGAAAGTGGAAGAGGAAGACAGAAGACGTGAAAGGACGTGAGAGAAAACGTAAGGACAGAGCAAAGTCAGAGAGATGCTGTGTGGCTGGCTTGGAGGATGGAGGAAGGGGCCACTCGCCAAGAAATGCAGGCAGCCTTTAGCAGCTGGAGAGGCAGAGAGACAGATTCTCTCCTGGAGCCTCCAGAAAGGCAATCCTGCTGACACTTCAGTTCCAGCCCACTGAAACCCATGTTGGGCTTCAGTATTCCGTCCTTGATTTCTCCCATAACCCACTAGTTTTTGAGCAAGGTGTTGTTCAGTTTCCTTGTGTTTCATTTTTGTTCCTCGCTGTTTCTGTGATTGATTTCTGCTTTTATGGCTTTATGGTCAGAAAAGATGCTTCGTAATATTGCAAAGTTTTGTGTTCTGTTGAAGCTTGCTTTGTGACCTAATATGTGGTCTATTCTGAAGAACGTTCCACATAGGTTGGAAAAGAATGTATACTTGGCTGCTGTTGGGTGGAGGGTTCGGTTTATGTCTATGCGATCGAGTTAGTTGATTGTGGCATTTAGATCCTCCGTGTCTTTATTGAGCTTCTTTCCGGATGGTCTGTCCTTCACCAAAAGTGGTGTGCTGGAGTCTCCTCCTATGATTGTGGAGCTGTCTTGTTGGACCTCTGGCCGACAGAACTGCAAGACAATACGTTTCTGTAGTTCTAGGCCATTCAGTGCGCGGTCATTTGTTAGAGGACCGATAGCTATGGCTCGAAGCACAGATACAAGCACACATGTGCACACAGGTAGCACAGGCGGGCACACTGACCTGGGTGCTGACCAGCTGGATGCGCTTGTCAGGGTTCTTCGACCACATGTTGGCGTTGTCGCGTTGGAAGTCAGGGTGCATGGTCATCACGGTATGGGTGGTGGGGTAATGCCGGCGGCTCTGCAGGTGGGATAGGGGAGTCCTCAGGCCAGAGTGTCCTGGGCCACCGCTGTGCACAGCTTTGTCCTGGGTGTGTGTATATATATATATATATATATGTATGGATATATATGATCAAGAATGCAGGACACACCAGGGAAGGCACGGGGACAAGCCACAAGATTCAGCAGACAGGACCGGCCGGTGTCCCCTCTGCTGGACCCAGACTTGCCAGGATCCCCCAAAGGATGGGGCATCGGTGCCAGGAGGGCCTACCCCCTGAGACCAGCCTGAAGGCCAGCCATGGGGATGGTCCCAGGAGGGCCTGGACCCCCAGACATCACACCACCTCCCCAGGGAGCCCCCTCTCCCCACTGTCCAGGAGGTGGAAGCAGGTCCCACCCTGTTCCATGTTTACCCTGTGTCTGTGGCATATCTATATGTATGTATGTATCCATATGATCAAGAATGCACGATAAGAAGAGAAACAGTGTGCAGGGGGGCTGGAGAATATGGGAACTCCATACTTTCTGTAGGAGTTTTCTCTAACCCTAAAACTGCTCTAAAAAATAGTCCATTAATAAAATTTAAAAAAAGAGTGGACAATGGCATGTGGGAGCTAGGGACACACACATAAAAATAGTCAGCTGTTGTCCCTGAGCTCCCTCAGGCCAACCACACAGCTGAGGGCACGGAGCACTGTGCCAGGCTGGCTCACGGTCACGAGTGTGTGCATGGGGAAGGGGCCTGCACACTCTGATCAGGAAGGCACCCCAATTCAGGAGGAGGCCAGGGTGATGGTGAGTGGGGGATTACCTTCCTCACAGGAAATGCCTTGGCCGTGGGAAGGGCCCTGAATTACCGATGCCCTTCCTGCAGGCTTGGGATACTGGAGTTACCTGAGCAGCTGCCAACTGCAGGAAGCAACTGACCAGCTTCTTGGCATTGGGGAGCCCTGGTCGCGCAGTAGTTAAGAGCTCAGCTGCTAACCCAAAGGTTAGCAGTTCGAATCCACCATTTGCTCCCTGAAAACCCTACGGGGCAGTTCTACTCTGTCCTATAGGGTCGCTATGAGTCGGAATGGACTCGAGGGCAACGGGTTTGGTTTGGTTTTGTGGCGTTGGACTCGGGGCTGCAGGGGTCGCCACCAGGGCTTGTCGTCTCATGCGAGTCCCAGCACAGATCCCCCGCGGACTGTATGAGATGGGGAACACAGCTGCAGGCCACGCCAGGGTCGAGGGGTAGCCCAGCACCCTAGACGTGCCCTAGAGTCAAAGCCTGCCATCTCCCACCCAGGCCCACTCGGGCGCCCCAGAACAAAATGAAAATGCAGGGCCCTCGTTCATAAACTGTTGAGGATTTCCAGACAGTGACAGCGGAGTGTGAAATCAAGTGCAAGGTCCTCTGAGCCCGGGGCTGCACAGGTCACACACCCCTGGGGTCCGTCCTCCCCCTGCTCATCGGAAGAGGTCTGCGGCCGGGGGCTTCAGGCTGGCGCTGGCCCGCCACCCCGGCTCCATCTCCAGCGTCTCCTCCCGAACCTTCTTATCTCGATCATCCAGGCGCCCGCCCGCCTGGGGGTCAGAGCACAGGAGAGGGCCGTCGGAATCAAAGCCCGCCTCTCTCCTTACCAACCAGCGTGGGAGGGCTGGGTCGGAGCCCGGCTGGAAAGCAAGTCTGAAACTAGCCAGGCCCCAGCACGCTTCCAAGTCTGGGGACAGTCAGAGCCACTTCAGGAGACAGGGAGGGGGCAGGAACTCGCCTCCAACCCTCCACCCCCACCCCGGAAAGGGGAGCTGGTCCTCAGCCTGGAGAGGGATGGGGTCAGAACCCCGAAAGGGGGCGGAGTCAGGGCACAGGTAACGGAGCCGGTTTCAAAGCAGGGCAGGCCTCGGCCTGCCACCACGCCTGGGGAGAAGTCGGGATCGGAAGCAGCCAGGTGGGGCCGGGGCGCGCCCCGGCACGGGCGGGGAAGGGGCGGAGCCAACGGGAGCGCGGTCAGGGTGGTGCTGATTACCCAACACGCCTGGTACGCGGAGGTTTACTGGGGTTTCCTCCGTAATTTGTAGTGCGCAATTTCCCCTGGTTTTCACAATACAGATGTGGGGTAACCTCTGTGTAATCACTACAGATGAGTAAGTAAACTCGATTAAGCCCGTTAGTACCTTGCTTACTGTAAACCGGTGCAAACCGTACGTACTGGTTAATCCGCCCCTGGTTGCCTCCCCCCATTGGAACGTCAGCGGCAATCTCCAAATTGCACTCCCGAATCGGGGGCCCAGGGGCAATCTCTAAATTGCGCCCTCTCATTTCGAGCGCCCAGGGGCAATCTCTAAATTGCACCCCCCGGTTCGAGTGTCCAGGGGCAATCTCTAAATTGCGCCCCCCAATTCGAGCACCCAGGGGCAATCTCTAAATTGCGCCCCCCATTTAGAGACCATGGGGCAATTTCTAAGTTGCGCCCCCCCATTTCGAGCCCCCAATGGTGATCTCTAAATTGCGCCCTCCCCCAATTTCCAGATGAATAGACGCTGATAGCGGCGTCCGCAGAAACTCCTTCCCTCCCCCCTGTTGCCCCGCTGCCTCAGGCAGGCGCCCTTCTTATTTGCGGCGTCCCCGTGGACTTGCCCCCAGGGGTAAGGGCCTCCCTCGCTACGCCTCTGCCGGCTTCCACACATCTGAACCCCGGCTGGTGGCGCAGTCCCTGACAGGGGTCTGCTGCTGTGCCGGCCAGAGCGAGCCCGGGGTCTGCGCCCAGAGCCTCCAGACCGACAAGTCCGGCCTCATCGCGCATCAGGTCTCTGTCAGGTCACTGTCACAGGGGGTGACACCAAAGTGACTCCAGAGTCCGCGACGGCGGGCGGGAGGGGCCGCCAAGGAGAGGTGTCACTCGCCAGTCGGGGTGCAGGCTGCGGGCCGGCGCCCACCACTGGCGGGAGGGGCGAGGGTCTCGGCCTGAGCCAATGCGCGAGGGAGGAGCGGCGGGAGCGCGCGATGGGCGGAAGGGCGGGCGCTCGGCTCTGCGCCGGGCCCGACCTGCCGCTCCGCCCACGGGGGGTGGTTTCGCCGGCCCGCCTGCCCACCCCGAGCAGGGGGGTGGGTGACACCAACCCTAGTGACGCCAGTGGCCGCTGTGCGAGGGGGTCTCGTCGCCTGGCGGGGCCTTCGTGGGACTCTCAAATTAGCGCAGCGCAGGGAGGCTTCCGGCCCACATCTGGCCGCGCGGGGCCTTGCTGAGCACCGCCCATCCCGCCCGGGTCTTGGCCTGGGGCAGCCGGTCCCCCAGACCCCGGGGCTGCGCCGGCCGCCGGTAGGGGGTGCAGCCCCTCCTCGGATCACGCTCTCTGTCCCCACCCAGGCGGGGCCAAGCACCCCCTCCCCACCGCCCCGCCGGGCCCCCGCCTCGTCGGGCTCACATCAGCGGGACGCCCGGGAGAGCGGGTGCCGTGGTGCCGGCCTCTCCGCCACAGCAGAGCGCCCACCCGCGGGTGGGGTCTCGGAGTTAGGGCGTTGCAGGAGGGGGGCGAGAATGAAAAGGAGGGACGGGGTGGGTCCAGGATGGGAGGGCACCGGGACAGGCCACGAGCTTCGGCAGACAGGACCGGCCGGCGTCCCCTCTGCTGGGACGCAGACTTGCCAGGATCCCCCAAAGGATGGGGCACCGGTGCCAGGAGGGCCTACCCCGAGGCCAGCCTGAAGGCCAGCCAAGCGGATGGTCCCAGGAGAGCCTGGACTCCCAGACGTCTCACCGCCTCCCCAAGGAGCCCCCTCCTCCCACTGTGCAGGATGTGGGAGCAAGCCCCACCCTGCTACATGTTTACCTGCGGCAAGTTCTTCCCCCGCTTCTGGGTGAGGACGGCCCGGCCTCCCGCGCATCGCCGCCCCCCCAGAGGCCCCCGCCCAGGGCCTCTGTGTCGTCCAGGTGCTTAGAGGCGCTCCCTGGACCGGCCGCCTGCCTTTGGTTCCAGGAATTGGTCCCCCAGCCCGACTGGCTGAGACTCCACCAGCTGAGTCAGGAGGAGTCGCAGCCTCGCTCCTCCCCGCCCAAGAAGCAGGAGGTGCAGCCAGCTGGGGCCATCCACCTTCCCCTGGGTGCCCTCGGCCAGAGGAGGGCCCTTCAGAAGTGCTCCAGAGACAAGGGATCGCTGGGGGCCTCAGCCCGTTAACGGCCATGTCAGAACGGCATTGTCCAGGTGCAACCCAGAGGGCCGACCCCTGGACCCAGACCGCCCAGAGTGCCTGAGTAGGGTCCTCCACGCCCTGTGTGAGGCTAAGGGCGCATGTTTGGCTCCTAGTGCCCCCCCCATAAGAGCCCACCCTACTTCAGGGCTCAGACCTCAGGGTCAGAGGGGCCTCCACCCAGCCCAGCTGTGGCCCCACCTGAGACCAGAACCAGCCAGGCCTGAGGGCATGCCCCGCTCTCTCGGCCCAGCCTGGCAGTGGGACAAGGTGGGGTGACCCCTCAGCTCATGACCAGGCTGGAAACTCAGGGCACAGTCCCCTCCCCCGGCGGTGTCACAGCACCGTTACACACACACGCACTTTATTGAATTCCTTTATAGACAGATAGGAGTGTGCAAACTGCGGTAGACGGGTGGGGGCAGGGGTAACAGGCAGGAATGCGGGGCCAGCGGTGGAGCCCCGGCGGGCTCCGGCCTGCAACGGACAGCCCCGGGGGGCTCCTGCAGCAGCAACCGGCAGCCCCAGGCCTCCGGCCGAAGTAACCGGCAGCGGTCAGTTGCCGTCAAGGTGATTTACCATCCGTGAGATGGCCTCCATGCTTATCAGTGCTCCGGTGGCCAGAAGAATGATGGCGCCGACGGTCAGCAGGAGGCTTAAGAGCAGCGCGCAGATGTTCAGGCACTTGGCGGTGGAGGCGTAGCTCTGGGCGCCGATCACGTCGCCCACCATCTTCCGGTCCCTAGACTGGGGAAGACGAGATGATGAGCGCTCCTGGGGAGGGACCCGCTGGGAGCCAGGAGCTGATGGTGGCACTCAGGTCTCCTCTGGTCCTCTGTGCCCAGTTCAGCCTGCACTGGCCCTCACCCACATCCGGGAGCCCCACCGCTCCACGGCCGTCTCCTCCCTCCCCCCCTCCTCCCCCCAGGGACCTCCTCACAGCCCCTCAGTCCCTCCGGGGAGCCTCGGGCTTGCCCTCTGTCTGCTGTGGCCCAAGCGCTGCCCAAGGGTGAGGGGGGAACTTCTCTACTAACCGTGAGAAAACTTTCTTCGGAAGTTGTGGCAACAACGGCTGATGACAAACATCCTCACGCACCCCTGGAGCGTCGAGGATGATCTACACGGGGAACGACCTCCCCCCTCCCAGACACAGAGACACTCACACAGAAGCGCACACAAAATCCACACACACGAGAGACACACACAGAAACAGTCACGCAAGGACACACACAGGCCCTTTCCTGCCCCAGGCCCATCTGGGAGGGGCACCCCCCAGGGCCCACTCCGACCCTTGTGGAGAATCCCCCAGGTGCCCGGCACGCACGTGTGCACACGGGCACACACATACACAAACACATCCACGCATCCACACAAGCACACGTGGGCGTGCGCGCGCGAGCACACACAGAAGACCACAACACACACCCTCCCTAGCCCCAGACCCAACTGGGCAGAAGGCGCCCAGAGCGCACACTCGCACCCTCGCGGAGAAGCCCCCGGTGTCTGGCACACCGGCGCCCATGCGCACCTTCACGGAGTAGGCGAACGCCACGAAGCCCAGGCAGAACCAGTTCATACAGAGCGTGTTGAAGAGGGACCAGACGATATGGTCCGGCACCGAGGTCTCCGTGCGGATGTTGATCACGGTGGACCTCACGGGCGCCGCGGGGCCGCGGGGCGCCGCCAGCACGTCCACCTCGTGCTCTTCCTTGAGCATCTCATAGGCTGGGGAGAGGCCGGTGCCGGCGCTCGTGAGGAAGTGTTGCGAAGTGTGGTTCATGGTTCCGAAAGACGACCGGGAGTCGAAGGAGTCTGGCGTAGGGTAAGCGCTTCGGGGCCTCCCTTCTCTCGGTAGTTTCGATTTCTCTGAAGTTTCTATTTCCTCGCGTTGGACAATTGGGGGTTGGCCACGGGCTAAGGGGGCGGGACATATTTCGGAGGCTCAAATTACTTCAGGGCTGGGAGGAGACGAGAGGGGAGGTAGAGTTTTGGCGCCGTCCTGGAAGGGTTTCTGTGAGTATTAAAATGAAACAATACATTTAAAGTACGTCTTGGAAGAAGTACAGCCAGAATGCTCCTTGGAAGCAAGGATGGTGAGACTCTGTCTCACACACTTTGGACGTGTTATCAGGATGCCCTGAAGAAGGGCATCATGCTTGGTAAAGGGAAAGAGAGGTCAGCAGAAAAAGAGGAAGACCCTTAAGGATGTGAACTGACACGGTGGCTGCAACATCGGGCTCAAGCATAAGAACTATTTTGAGGCTGGCGCGAGACCAGGCAGTGCTTCCTTCTGTTGTACACGGGGTGGCTATGAGTCGGAACTGACTCGATGACACCTACCAGCAACAGGACCATGCCTTGCACACCGCAAGTTATCAATAAATGTTTATTATTATTACAAAGAAGTCTATGTTACAGGAGTTCCTGGGTGGCCCAAACGTTTAAGCGTTCAACTACTAGCCAAAAGTTTGGCAGTTTGAAATCATCCAGAGGTGCCTTGGAAGAAAGGCCTGGCGATCTGCTCCCATAAAGATTACAGCCTTCAAAACCCAATGCGGCACAGTTCTACTGTGATACACAGGGATTCGCCACGATACAGAACCAACTTGATGGTAACTAGAAATGCCAACAACAATAACAATGAACAAAGCCTATGTTAGGCTTGTTGATCTACCCTGAGGAAGGAGCCCCCTTCTAAAATCAAGACAGGTCCTTCTTGTCAAGATGTGTCTTGGTTTGAAGTGGGATGGAGAAGGGTGGTAAGTTGGGGGAGAAGCAAGCAAGTCTACACTCATCAGTGGATGAAGGACCTTAGGTAATTTGAAGAGACCTATTGATTCTCTGGAATTGAATCCCCCTCTCCTGTGTTGAGCCCCCGTTTCCCATTTCTGCTTCCCATTTTGGTGAGGGTCTTTGTATAAATCACAGGTTATCTGACGTCACTCCTGAAGAACTAGAAAGAAGCTGGAGAAACTTGGGTAACCATCTGAAGCTTAATTTCCCCATTTGCAAGATGAGTCCATTCTGTCTTCTGTCATCACTATTTTCATTGCTAATGGACTCCTCACGGGCTTAAGAACTGACAACAGAGGATAGCGAGTTGGGAGGATCTCTGGGCTGCTGTGGTCTCCCTTTTCCTGGATTTCCACGAGTATCCTGTGGAGCACGGTTGTCTTTTCTATCTGGATTCAGCATTTAGGGATATGGTTGCACTCTCAAGTTTTAATTACTTCAGTGTATTGTCCTTCCCCTCTTCGGGATTCATGGGTTTTCACTCTTCTGCCCCAGGTCTTGGATTCTGGCCCACCTTCTAAGAACTCTGCAGTATCCATGCTTCATACTCATAATCAGGAAGATCTGACTAGCATAACCACACTGTCTTTATTCTGCCACCATCATCAGGAAGGTCCCACGTATACTTGCATCTTATGTGCAGGCACCACCCAAGGACTCCTCTAACTAGACTTCTTTTGTAATAATAATAAACACGTATTGATAACTTGGAGCCCTGGTGGCGCAGTGGTTAAGAGCTACGGCTGCTAACCAAAAGGTCGGCAGTTCAAATCCACCAGCCACTCCTTGGAAACCCTACGGGGCAGTTCTACTCTCCCCTATAGGGTTGCCATGAGTCAGAATCAACTTGACGACAATGTTTTTTTGTTTTGTTTTTTTATTGATAACTTGTCCTGTGCCAGGCATGGTCTACATACTTTGATGTATTACTTTCCATATCATTTTCAGTATTTATGAGCTCAGAGATGAAGTGATCTAGGGCAGTGGTTCTCAACCAGAAATGATTCTGTACCAAGAGGACATCTGGCAATATCTGGAGATATTTTTTGGAGCCCTGGTGGTGCAGTGGTTAAGAGCTCGGCTGCTAACCAAAAGATTGTCAGTTCAAATCCACCAGCCACTCTTTGGAAACCCTATGGGGCAGTTCTACTCCATCCTATAGGGTCGCTATGAGGCAAAATCAACTTGATGGCGACGGGTCCAATATTTTTGATTGTCAGGACTTGGAGATGGGGTTCAGGGGTGTAGCAAGGGTAAAAAGTGTCCAGGGGCAATTTCTAAGTTGTCCCAATTTCAAGATTAGAATACACATTGATAGCTGTGATGCGTCAGCAGATACCCCTCCCCCCGTCTTGTCCAACTGCCTCAGTCAGGTGCCTTTCATGTTTGTGGCACCTTGGGATGTCATTCCATGCTTCAATGGGTACCCCTTGGGACTTGCATCTGGGGGCAAGGGCCCCTCTTTGCCCTCCCCACACCTCTGCTGGGCTCCCACACATCTGAACCTTTGGCCAGTGGTGCAATCCTGGATGGGGGCCTGCTGCTCTGCTGGGCCAGGGTGAGCCCAGCGGTCTGTACCCTGGGTTGCATAAATGGCTACACACGGGACTACTAGCTGAAAGGTTGGAGGTTGGAAGCCACCAAAGGTACCTCAGAAGACAGGCCTGGTGATCTACTTCTGAAGGTCGCAGCCTTGAAAACCCTACGGAGCACGGTTGTGCTCTGCACACATGGGGTCGCCATGAGTTGGAATCAACTCAACGCCAATAACAACAACGCTAGGGAGGCTGCTTGCATCTTATGGATAGAGTTGTTGCTCAATCCCCTATCCAATGCAAGGAAGCTGCTCACAACAAAGCATCCTTCTGCCCCGACTTGTCAGTTGTGCTGAGGTTGAGAAACGCTCGTCTGTTTTACCATTGCTGAGCCAAGGACCACCTAGATCTGTTCTAAAAATTTTGTAAAGTGTTATTGTGACTATTAGAGAAATTTATTGTCTCACATTAAGCATGCATTATTATTTGTGTGTGTGTGTGTGTGTGTGTGTGAGTAGTTCTGCCAGCTGACTCCTCACCAATGACAGAACTCACTGAGGTTGCTAGCAATGACTCCGAGCTTCCAGGGCTCGAGTGTTTTGTGCACAGCAGAGGGAGTGAGCAGAGTGAGGTGACTGTCTGCTTCCTGGCGTTGGGTGGGCGCATTCACCTCTGAGATTGCCACTGCTTCACAACGAGCAGAGTCCTGTGGTGTACCCAAGGGCACTTCAGGGTGTTTGTTTCATGGAAAACACAAGGAAAATGACCTGGTTGAGTTTATGAAATTGACTCTTTAATGATACGCATTTTCATACTCAAACATCCACTCTCATTGTTTCTGTCTTTCAGTGTGTGTGTGGCTGGTAGACATCTGGGGTTTCATGCAAAGGAGCCTAGGTACAAATTCTGTGATCCATTTCTCAGAGGCAGTGGAAAGCTCCACCTTCTCTACTAAGGCATCTGTTTTCATCACCTCCTCTTCACGCTTTGCTAATCCCAGTCAAATACAAGCCCAGCCAACCAACCAACCACAAACCAACAGCCAACAACCAACCAACCAACCAACCAACAACCACCCACCCACCAACCAACCACCAACCAACCAACCATGAACCACAGCCAACCAACCAACCAACAATCAGTCACGCAACCAACAGCCAAACAACAAACCACAAACCAACAACCAACCAACCAACCACGAGACAACAGCCAACAAACCAACCACCAACCATCAAAACAACAAACCAACCAACAGCCAACCAACAACCAACCATCCAACCAACAAACCAACCAACCAACAACAAACCAACCAACAACCAACCACAAACCAACAACCAACCAACCACCAACAAACCAACAACCAAAAGCCAACCAACCAGCCAACAGCCAACCAACCAACCAACAAGCGACCAACAAAATACGAACCAACAGCCAACCAACCAACCAACCATCCAACAAACTAACCAACAGCAAACGAACCAACAACCAACCAATGAACAGCCAACCAACCACCAACCAACCAACCAACCAACAGCCAACCAACCACCAACCAACCAACCAACAGCCAACCAACCACCAACCAACCAACCAACAGCCAACCAACCACCAACCAACAGCCAACCTGCTGTCATCAAGTCAGCTCTGACTCGTGGCCCCATAAGCATCAGAGAAGAACTGAGTTCCACAGGGTTTTCAATGGCTGATTTTCCAAAAGTAGATTGCTACACCTTTCTTCTGGGGCGACTCTGGACACACTGAAACTTCCAACCTTTTGGTTAGCAGCTGAGCGTTTAATTGTTTGCACCACCCAGGGACTCTAGAATCACCCTGTAGCTAGCGGACGTACACCTAGTCTATGAGGCAGAAAGTTGTCAAATAGAACAAGCAGTTAGAGGGAAGGATGAGTATTATGGATTGAATTGTGTCTCCCAAAAATTATGTGTGTTAACTTGTCTCGGCCATGATTCCCAGTATGTGTGACTGTCCACCATTTTGTCATCTGATGTGATTTTCCTATGTGCTGTAAATCCTACCTCTATGATGCTAATTACGTGGAATTATCAGCAGTTATGTTAATGAGGCAGGACACAATCTGTAAGATTAGGCTGTGTTTTAAATCAACCTCTTTTGAAATATAAAAGAGAGAAGCGAGCAGAGAGACGGGGGACCTCATACCACCAAGAAAGCAGTGCCAGGAGAAGAGCGCATCCTTAGGACCCAGGGTCTCTGTGCTGAGAAGCTCCTAAACAGGGGAAGATTGATGACAATCAATCTTCCAGAGCCGACAGAGAGAAAGCCTTCCCCTGGAGCTGGCACCTTGAATTCAGACTTCTAGCCTCCTAGACTGTGAGAGAATAAACTTGTGTTTGTTCGAGGCATCCACTTATGGTCTTTCTGTTACAGCAGCACTAGGTGACTGAGACAGTGAGGAACAGAAGGTTTGCTACCTAAACCACTGACTAACCAACCAGTTACTGTCGAGTCGACTCTGACTCATGGTGACCCCATGGTGTCAGAGTAGAACTGTGCTCCATAGAGTTTTCAATGGCTGATCTTTTGGAAGTAGATTTCCAGGGCTTTCTTCCAAGTTCCCCTGTGGACTTGAACTTCCAATACAAGATCTAGTCATCAGATTTTCACATCATTCCTCAGTTGGGAATATTCTTCTTTAATCTTGTTGGAGCCTCACTGGCTTAATGCTGACTTATATTTTGGTGAGAAAGGATGGCTTTAAAGATGTATTTTATATTATTATCAGTGAGAACTCAACATTCCCCATTGGCAAGTTGTTGTTGTTGGGTGC